CCCTTTTTTTTTTAATTTTATTGTTGATTATGATAGAGAATTTTATGCTGATTAAGAATCGTATAAAAACATAGGTCAGAAAGTTGATTTTCAGACCTATGTTTGAATAGAGAATTTTATGCTGTTGAATAGAGAATTTTATAGTGATTAAGAATCGTATAAAAACTTAGATCTGAAAATCAACAGAAAGTGCTCTAATTCGATCTTGAAGTTTAAAAAATTACACTAAAAAACGCTAATATTCGCCATTTTTTAAATCAAAGTTTACATTTTGAAATCGATCGTAAAGGTGAGTTTCCACTCATCCGTTTTTCTACGGAAAAGGGAAAGGGAACGGAAAAATAATCACGTGAGCATGCGCAGTTTACTTTCGGACAAGTAAAAACTTTTGTTACGCATTCTCACGTGATGAGTGGAAACTCGCCTTTAAGAAAATCATTTTTTTAATACACGACCCGGTTTAAATGTTTTTAGGAATATATTTTATATATTTTTAATTAGCTTTTTAAAAATAATATAAGATATTGCTTTTTAAATGTACATAAATCGATGGAAAAATAGGGATGGCGCAATTAAATGTATACGCATCGACTGAAAAATAGGGATTGGCACAACTAAATGCATATATATCGACTGACAAATAGGGATTGGCGCGATTAAACGTACTTGATTTGGGACAGGGTTAGGGTTTGGGCAAGGTATAAATCAGAAAATGATGCGCTTAGCATTTTTTAATTTTTGCATTAAATTGTTGATAGAAACCAGGCTTTTTAAAATCATCTATGAAAAGAATTTTAATATAACCGAGAATGAAAAAAATGGCAAATATTTGCGTTTTTTAGTATAATTTTTTAAACTTCAAGATCGAATTAGAGCCCTTTCTGTAGATTTTTAAACCTATGTTTTTATACGATTCTTAATCAGCATAAAATTCTCTATCATAATCAACAATAAAAAAAAAAAGGGGGGGAGGGGATCAGGGGCGGACTGGCCAAATTATTATGATGTGGAAAAATATTTTTAACGGCCCTGTAGGCCAACGAAAAATGAGGAAAAGCAGCAAAGATAACAGACGTAAATTACAAAGTTATGCTTAATTTATAAATATATACATTAATGAATAAATATCGAACAGAAAAAATTTATTAGAATACATATACGTAAAAACAAAGTACTTAACAACGGCCCATGTGGAATAGTCCACATCTTCCACATGGCCAGTCCGCCCCTGGAGGGGATTAAATAAAATAAAGATAAAAATTTTTAGTTAACTAATTAAAAATTAGTTTATTTAACATAAGTAAAAACGCACTAGAAACTAATAATATTCCTAGAACCTAATAGTTAACTATTAGGTTCCACTAACATATATAACTAGTTATAACCTATTAGTAGAAATAAAAAACAAATAAAAACCTAGTAGTTATCTAATTCAAAAGTTTCCGAACAACTTTAAATGTGAAAAATCGAAATAATTTTATTGTTTATTTATATTTCATTTATTTACTTTCTTTTAATTTTAGTTTTACCATAAATTAATTGTTTAATATTGTTTTTTATACAATTTATGTACCTTTTAGTTCTTAACTACCCAATGCTGTGTGCTAGAAGGTTAATAACACAACTGCATGGTAGGCAGCAGAATATCTTTTTAAAATAAACTATTATAAATTAGTTCTTCAAATAGATATCACAAATTTACAAATGCTGCATGAACTATTAGCTGAGCTCTGTGAGTACACACAACTCAGAGGTTCCTTCTAGAATTTTATATATATATATATATATATATATATTATATATATATATATATATATATATATATATATATATATATATATATATATATATATAATACAGATAATTTTATTTTAATGTCATTTTAGCTACGTATCTGACAATATGAGATCAATGCTTTTTTGAATGGTGCAATTTGGAATATCTGCATTATCGTGGTCTCTATTAGTTGGTTTACTTTCCACCAAATCATACCTTTCTTATTAATTCAATTTCAGTCAGATATTTTAGTACTGGAGTGAGCAAAAGAAAAAAGAATCCAAAGCTTTTAAAATATGAATTTGATCTCTGATGCTGCAGTTTCCATTTATTTATATGTGGCTGTGAGTTGTTGGCATTTGATATTGTTGTTAAACATTCTTGCAGATCTCTTAGCTAAATAAGATCTCACAGCACAATAAAGAGCTTGTTAGATGGTTTTGACTGAGTTTATATCTTAAATGATTTTATGGTAAATTTTCTTTTTCTTCTCAGTCGAGATATATATTTTAAACAGATTTAACTGCTACCAAATATCTAATGAAATCAGTTTTTAGACTATACAAGATTATTTGCGTACCAATTAATCTCTTTAAGACTAATGATATAATTATATGTCATGTTAAGAAATGGAAAACAAAGAGTCTTGTTACATACACACTACCAACATTAAGCCAATACTAATACATGACTTGTATCCATTATCAAATAGGTTTCTTGAACTTAATGTCATCTAATCAATCTTTTATGCAAATAAACTCATCAGCATACATATAAAATTATTTAACTGCAACATACAGTTTAATAATATAAAAAAAGTCAGCAAACTATAACATATATCTGTAATTTTTAACAGCAGGTAAACATTTAAGTATAATAAAGTCTAAGAGTTTTTGTGTACTTACAGCACTCATTTAATAGTTCATGCAGCATTTGTACAAATTGGTATCTTGCTTAAAAAATATAAAGTATAAAATTGTAGGTAGATATGATTGCTGCTGTTTACCATGCTGTTATGAATGGTAAACAGCAGAAAATATTAACCTTCTAGCATACAGCATTGGGCTCTTATTCTTAGTTATAGCCTTCTTAGTTAGAACTGAAAGGCACATAAATTATACATAAAACTGAAATTGTAAATTTCACTCATTCTATTTAATAATAAATTCAATTATTTAAAAAAACAATTTCTTTTTTTTCTCTAATAACTATAAATTTCATTTGTTTATTTATTTTTGTTATTTTTTAATACAAATGTATTAGTCTTATTTCATTACTTTCTTTTGTATTTTGATAAAGTAAAATAGAATATATATCGGTTTCACCGCTAGGAACTAAAATCGCCGCCATCTTGGGAGGCCAATTTTGGCTTCAACCTTTTTTGGAAAAAACATTAGAATCCGCTATCCAGTTATAGTTTGAGATCAGTGGGTTGGAACTATAATGTTATTAACACTTGTAAAATGACACTTAGCACACAACATTAAGCCAATACTAATACATCGGAAGCGTCGGGCCAACGTGGTATTCTAGATGGGATTGCACTGTCCTCCAAAACATTAGCAGCCAAATAAAAATAAAAAATGCTTTTTTCTACTTTGAATACTAATTACATCAATTTTATTTTTTTAATTACGCTTTGAATGCAAAAAATTCTGAATATTACATATAAGAAAAAAGATTTGTACATAATAAGACTACTTGAAAATTAATAAATTTGTTTTTTGTTTTTATTGGTATTTTAACGCATAAACGTGGTCATCCAAAACATTAGCAACTTTTTTAATTACTCACAAAAACTCACGGAAAATCAGCAGCATAAGTGTGGAAATAATGCCTAAGGGAATTGTAGTGCTGTAATTATTAGTACTTAACCAATGAGAATCAACTAATTGTTAATTTTTGTCAAGAGATGAATATGGAGTGTTGCAATTATTACAATATTAATTTAAGATCGCGTATATATGCTGTTTTGGATTATAATGGCAGGAAACAAGTATAATTTAGCTTTTCGAGAATGTATTGTAAAAGATTAAAAGAAATAAGTTAAACAAAAGGAAATCGCAACGAAATACTCTATTAACAAGTCCATTGAATGTCGAATAATCAAACGATTTAATAAAGGTACTCCTTTAGAAACAGAACATAAGGGCGTAAGACCACTCAAAACATGTCGTTTCACCGAGAGAAAAATTATTCGTCATGTTAAAAAAAAACCCTTTTGACAGCGCTAATGATACTATTAAAAAACCGAAACTTTCCGTGTCTCAAAGTACAGTTTGTAGACAGTTACAACTTTCAGGACTTTTGAGCTTTAGAGCAGCAAAAAAACCTTTGATTTCTCAGAAGAATAGGAAAGCTAGCATTGAGTTTGCAAATTCTCATAGAGACTAGACTACAAATGATTGGAATAGAGTAATCTATAGCGATGAATCAAAGTACAATTTGAAAGGTCCTAATGGAAATTTAAAGGTACGTAGATCCAAAGGTAAACGCTTAGATCCTAAATACACAAGAGGAATAATCAAAGATGGTGAAGAAAAAAGTGCAATGGTTTGGGGTTGTTTTTCTGGTTTTAGTGGAGTTGGACCTATTTACCGAATAAATGGCATTATTGATCGGTATGTTTATCGTGATATTCTTGAGGAAAAAGTGGTTCCTCTTACTGATAATAATATGCCTCATTTATGGACATTTCAACAAGACAACGACCCCAAACACACCTCTAAACTCGTTAAAGAATGGTTTGAAATAAATCTAATTAAAGTAATGAAATGGCCAGCTAAATTGTCTGATCTCAACCCGATTGAAAATTTATGGTACCAAGCTGAACTCTCCCTAAAACACAAGGAGTCTTATTATGTTAAAATTTTTTTTCTTATATGTAACATTAACCATTTTTTTCATTTAAAGCGTAATTAAAAAAACAAAATTGTTGAAATAAGTAATCAAAGTAGAAATTTTTTTTTTTTATTTGGTTGCTAATGTTTTGGAGGACACCGTAGATCCTACAATTTTGAAAAATATTTTCAGCGTACTTAGACTTTTAACGTTTTATATAAAAAGCAATAGTTCAAAGGAAGGTTATTTTTTTCCACTAATTTTTATATACTCGAAACAATACAAATAATAAAATATTTTTAGCAATAAAAAATATAATCGCAGAAAAAAACATCTTTTGTTTTTATTTAAAAAGAATAATAAACAACCAATATTTAAGAAGGTACTAAAAAAAGCAAATTTCTTAACTGTGTTAAAGAAGTTACACTAACTTGTTTGCGCGTACCAAACAACGTAATATAAATTATGAATATACGCGAACAAATATTATTTGTTAACATAACGAGCTCTACTAGGTAAAAGAGCATAAGCGACATTATCAGTCTAACCAGAAACATTGGATTTAACGCAAGACAAGTTTTTCATCCAATCAAAACACCAATCTAATTTTCATGAAAATCCATGATACTCATTTTTTAATGTTTTTTCAGTTCCTTTAAAATGTCGCTTACGCTCTCTAATCTACTAGGGTCCAATAATATACAACAAATATTTCATCACGAATATTTTGGCAAAACAATATAATACTAACTCAGTTTTTCAAATGGTATCGAGACACAGGATGCCTTTTTTTTAATGGAACTATCAAAGTTGTTATTCGAGGTAGAAGCTGTAGAGCTGCTAGAAGAAACCCTTAGTCCAATAACACGGCTCCACTCTTTCACTGCTTCCTTGTTCTGAACGACGTAAAAAACAAAAATGAAAAACCCCTGCAATGAAGTTGTGATGCAGAAGAGCCACTGCATAGGTTTTTTAAGACTTTTTATAGAAAGCACCCCAAACACCCACGTTAAACCAAGCAGAACGGCACATATAAACGTCAACTTTATTTGTTTTAAATAATACTCTCTTTTCTCTCCCATTTTCTTTATTGCCAGTGCACGCAAAACCAAAGCCAAAACAAAAAAATTAAAAAAAAGCGTTATAACAACAGGAACCAAAACTCCTAATGTAAATGACAAGCCTTGAACCAAGCAACTAAAATAATTATAACAACAATAATTATAAAAATATATAATAAATTATCGACATGTTTATAAAATAATGAAATAGTAAAATTTGGCTTACACTTTCTCGTTACCAAGATTATCCGGTTTAACTGCAGCTGTAATAACAACGGTAACTACGGGAAATCCTAAACAAATTTTTATTGGAGAAAATTAAAAAAATTTTTAAAATACGTAAAAGTGTTCATAAATTAACTAGGCGTGTAAAGTGCGGCCTGCAGACAAAGTTTGTTTTCAAAAAGCATTTTTAATAGTTCTATTTTCTTTTATTTGGAGTAAAACTCGCAAATAAAACGATTCATTTTAAAGTTGGTTAGACTTATAGCACAGGGCCGAAGACACGGGTTTCGAAATTGGGGGACACATCTATATCTAGGATTTTCTTATTTTTAAAATACAAGCCCCCTTGGTCCCCCCCCCCGGTTTCGTCGGCCCTGTAGTATAAAGCGACATAATTCAGTGGGTAAAAATTAAATTCAAATTATTCTAGTGCGCAAACAACGAACAGTGCTTCGAAGAGTCTAAAATTATTTATCTATTAAAAGATAAAAAAAAAAACTCATTTAAAAAGAAACTCATTTAAAAAGTTGTCTTTTATGGCTATAATTTCATAAATATCTGTGAAAAAAAAAACTACTTAAATATGACCTATAGGAAATATAACAGAGTGAACTTTCATCAAAATGTTACAAATATTTAACAAGCCAAAAATTTAATTTTTGCAATGATTGAGTGCAGGGGTGGATCATTATCTTGCTCTACAAACTTCATCTTTTCTCTTCCAGTAACTTCCAACTCTAATAGTGGTTGCTTGCAGCCTTGTTGGAAGCAAAGATGTTAAAAAAAAAAAAAAAAAAAAGGACAATATACTGTTATATGAATAGTCCAATTTAAAACTTCCATCTTACAATTTTATTAAAATTTCATATCATTATTAATCAGCATATAAATTTTATTTTGGGTGACGCATGATTACTCAAGGTTACCCAAGTAGAAATTATCATTGGTGTTGATACTAAAGTGTGTGTGAGAGAAACAACTTTCATTATCCATTTGCTATCCCAATTTATCGACATTTTTGAAAAGATTTACTGTAATTTTTTTATTTCTTATGTTTCTCTTCTTCTTTTTTAAATTATGCTTAATTTATTCCATGTAATATAAAAGTGTTTATTGTGTAGATTCTAAAACTTTTTAAAAATTTGAGTTCAAATGTGTTGATTAAGGATGTCTCAAAAAAATCGCAATCAATAGAGCAAAAAGCTGACCATTTCTGAAAATGTTCCCTGTGTAAAATATTTATTCTAAATTGTTTATAGTGTTACATTTATTATTATTGTTTATTCGGGAACATTCTCATTTCAGCTGTCTTGCTACATTACAGCATATGAGATTAATAAAGCTCGGTATATTTTTATTACTAATTGTGTAAGGGGTCGTCCATAAATTATGTCACGTAGTTTTTGACATTTTTTGATCCCCCCCCCCTTTCGTAACGCATCCGTAACACTTTATTGACCCCCCCCCCAATTTTACGCAACAATTTTGTACCCCCTACTTTAAAAATTTTTTTTTACGTTTTTTTAGGGAGGAAGGGGGTTCTATAATTCGTCAATGATGTCTATAATTCTCTGAGCTTCTTTGAGTTAATTAATTAGTACTTTCCAGTATGTTTATTGTTTATTTTTCACCCCAATAGTGCCGTGTAAAGTTGTATAAATTAACATCGCTCTCCTAAACATGATATCAATTTTAAAAATCTATTCTTCCGATATATAATACATACAAAATATTATATATAAAATATATAATAAATAACATATTATACATTCAAAAATATTATTTTATGAATAAAATTTTCTTAAAAATATTATTTTAAGAATAAAATTTTCCACGCTTACGATTCTTACCGGAATCGCAAGCGTGGCCGAGTGGATTCTGTCTCCGGCTAGTAAACCGAGTTAGTTCCAGGTTCGTTTTTCGAAGAACTTTTTTTTTAGTTAGTGCACAAAGATTGTTTTTTTGTTGCTGCACACTTTTATGCACCAACTAAATAAAGTTCTGAACTTGAACCATATAAATTCAAAGCGCAGAACGTGCACTACACATAAAGCCGTAACAATCCGTTAACAGGCTGTAACTACTCCGTTAACGGAGTGTACATCGACTATTATAGTAAGATTTAGGCGTAGTTGACCCTAAATGAATATAATATATATTCATATACTAAAATATTTAAATTTATATTTTTTAAAAATTAAAAAAAATAATAATTTATCTAAAGTTACTATTTAATTTTTAGTTTAAATTTGTTTAGTTTAAATAAATAGTGGAGTTGTCAATTCATAATTCTTTTTGCTTACTTAGTAACTAAATTTTAAATTTAATAAGAAACATTAAAGAGTGCAATGAAAAGATAAAGTTGCGCAACAAAAACGTGCAACAGTGTGATTAATTAAACAATACTATTAAAATATATAAGTATAAATTGTGAATAAAAAAAACAACCATACCAATAGCAAACAGACATGATTTCTTTAAAAAACTAGTATTTCCTCCTTTTTTGAAAACAATAACTAAACTACGATACAAATTTACTGCTTCAATCCCCATCCAACTAAATGTCATCAGCGTAAATAGCTGTATTAAAGAAGCAGAAACCCGACAAGCAAGCCTAGAGTAAGTTGCTTGTGCTCCAGTTAGAAATGTCACCAACAAACCCATTAATGAAACACAAAGAAACATTAGAATTTTAGGTGCAAGCTTCTTTCGTAAATTTCTAATTGGTCAAACAATAATATTTAAAATGGTAAATAAAAAATATAAACAATTTGAAAATAAAACATAAATAAAAGTAAAAATTCATTGTTTTTTTAGTACCTAAATATACTAAATGTCACCAAAGTTATTACCAAACTAACAATTGAAATACCGCAACCTATCCAGGTTACATATTCCAAACCAACAGGGTTGTATGCATCTTGACTAACATCGAGTAAAAGAGCAAAATTTGTGAGATGATTACATGAACATGTTACAACATTATTTTCAGATGATACTTTTGTGCAACCTTTAGTTGACCATGTACCTAAAATATTAGTAATATAAAAAGTGATACTTTATTGATACTGTGTATTATTACAGAAAAAATTGATTTTACAAACACAATAGTAAGTATAGTACTGTTACTATAGTAACACACAGCAGCTGTCTAATAGGAGAGAAAAAAAAAAGACTAAAATTATTTTAACCTTGATTGATGTTCCAAAAGGCGCAAGAATCTGAACCAGTTATATTGCTTTCATAATATTTGTGGAACTTTAGTACAACAGGATCTGTCAGATTGGCAACTTCACTATCTAATATTGTTGCTGATAATATAAAACTTTGAACAAATGGTGAGAGGCTGCTACTATTAGAATTTTTTTTTTTCTTGAACAAAACATCCTTTCGGAAGATATAAGAGTAAACTTTATTTGATGAAAAATCGTTATGTGGCATGACGGCTTCAGATGGTATATATATTGAAGCAACTAAATCACTAGCTAAAATGTTGTTCTGGTTATCTAATATCTCTAAACTTTTATTACCATTTTGTCTGGCATATAAACTGAATCCATTTTCATTGATAAAATTAACATACAAAGCTATGTTATTTTCTGGAATAGATATAGCTCCAATGGGTATATTTAGCAACTGTGACAAGCTTCTAGCTTGTAAATCCAGCAAAGATAAAATCAAAGTTATCGAAGAATTACTTACTTCAGATTGAGAAATAATTGTTTCATTACAATTCATTATTACGGAAACAATACTCAGAACTTTCTTGGCAACCTAAAAATTGAACATTTTACAATTAAAATGGTATGTAATGCATTAAAAAAAATATTATTAAAATAACAATAGACTTTTGAAAAATTATAAATTGAAAACTCCATATTGAATATTAAACTAAAATATTGTTGAAAAATTTCTATCTAACAGATATAAATACTAGAATATCATATTTACAAGAATATACCGTATTTAAAAAGCAATTTAAAATTTATGATACAACCTCTATAGCGATTGCACCCTGTAAGTTGTTATTGGTTACCACTTTGCTTAAAATATATGCTAAGAAATCAATGTCAAAATGAGTCGTCACTTCAAAAGAAGAATTTGAAACTATGTTATGAACATTTGAGACCAACTGAATTACAGACAAACATCCTATTACATTATCATCGGAAGTGCAAACTGCATACTGAAAGAAAATTTTAAATCTTAGTTAAGATTTGTAGAAAAATAATTATTAAAATAATAAATTAAAATAATTATTAAAGTAAAAAAAAAATAATAATTAAAGTAAACAAAAAAAATTAATAGTCATAATGATTACTAGTTTTTAAATTTGTTTAACTTATATTATAAATTTTTGTTAAACACAGTAGTAGTGTAAATGTTTAATGATTTTCAAATGAGAGGTAGAAAGTTAAAACTCACTTAAGGTACCTCAACTTGTTTCTTTGTACAACATTTTGTTTGTTAAGATTTGTGATTTAGATTTATAGTGTTTATAGTATTAAAAATAAAATAAAAACCAGCAATAATAAAAAAAGTAATTACCAAAAAGTAACTCTTTTGTAATTAAACTTTAATTCTAATCTAATAATTAGTAAATATTGCATATTTGTGATTTAATATATATATATATATATATATATATATATATATATATATATATATATATATATATATATATATATATATATAAACAATTTTTTAAAAAATGTATTCTACAAAATAGAGTGCTCAATGTTCTTAAAAGAACAGAGCAATTATAAATTAGTAGAAAATCACTTGCCAAAATTTTACATTGTGTTTCATCAACAAAGACTCATCAGAAATCTGATGAGTCTTTGTTGATGAAGTCTAAGATTTCTGATGAGTCTTTGTTGATATATATATATATATATATATATATATATATATATATATATATATATATATATATATATATATATATATGTTAGTAGCATAGGGAGGATTTTTTGGTGTTTCAGATAGCTAACTTTCAGGTATGAAGATAACTTCAAACATTTGTATGTTTATACTTACGTCAAGTAAGGATGGTTTGCAAAAAATTGCGATAATTGGAGCCTGGGAACAAAAAAGCCCAAAACTTTCGCTCCTCCTGCCCTAAATGTGAGAGGAACAAGTTAATAAAATATTTTTTTTAATATTCTTAACTAAACTTATATTCATCGATAAATTTTAAGTTTCATAAAGTAATTGCTCAACGTTAAAAAATTATGACCTTACAAAGTTTGTATCCCCCTCAATTTGAGGCGGTCACAAATTTTATATAGTCATAATTTTTGAACTTTTGACGGTTTGCAAAAAATTGCTCAAATCATTGCAATTTTTTGCAAACCATCCTTATTTGACGTAAGTATTGTTTGCTTCATGTTTGGAAGTTAGCTTCTCAAACACCAAAAAATCCTCTCTATGCTACTGATATATATATATATATATATATATATATATATATATATATATATATATATATATATATATATATATATATATATATATATCCTTATAGTGTAGTCGAAAGAGACTTTTATGGTAAAAAAAATTTCTTTCGACTACAATTTTTTTACCTTGTCTCTTAAGCTGCATTTTATTGTCGTTGAAATGTCAAAGCAATTAAATTAATGCGGAAGTACATTAAATTTTTATTGCTTTTTAAAAAAACCGCAATAATAATAACTAGAAAGTTTTTTTAATTAGTGGTGTTTTTATTTTTGTTTTATTAAAAAACATTTTTAAAACATGCATAAGTGTTGCTACATCGACTATCTTATAGCCTGCTGCTACATCGACTGACAAATAGCCTGACTCACAAGGGAGTGCTGATTTGTCAGTCCATGTATGTACTGAAGCCCCCAGCAGCAGACTATTTCAGTATGATGTCACACTGCTCACCCAACTCAGCAGTATAAGATATATATATATGTGTGTGTATATATATATATATGTATATATATATATATATATATATATATATATATATATATTTAAGGTTGCACTTATATATATATATATATATATATATAAGTGCAACCTTAAATATATATATATATATATATATATATATATATATATATATATATATATATATATATATATATATATATATATATATATATATATATATATACATATATATATATATATATATATATATATATATATATATATATATATATATATAAAAATATATATATATGTATATATATATATATATATATATATATATATATATATATATATATATATATATATATATATATATATATAAGTGCAACCTTAAATGCTCTTAAAACATTTATGGGAAACAAAAGAAAAAAAGAAACACCTGAGTTAAAATGGAATATCCTAAAAAATGCCCCTGCCTAAAACAACACAATAACAAAAAAGCTAAAAACATACTAGCTATAGCCTAGGCCTCAGACATCTTAGAAAAATGATCTTGGGGGTACTTAAAAGAAACAGATTACTTGTCAAGATGTTTGCAAAATATAGTAGTGCATTTTAGAATACTTTTTAGTAAACACAGAACTTCTGTATACAAACTTGATTTTTGTTTATTTTCTTGCTAAAGATGTGCAAATTAAAGTCATTAAGTTTCAGGAAAATAAAAAATTTCAGTTAAAAAAAACAAAAAAACATTCTTATCAAAGAGTTTTTAGAAAAGAATTTACCTTGCTAATCTCAATCAACTGCTGAGTTGTTAGTGATTTTGCATTGCAATTTTCCAAATTAGGTGTATCCCAAATTGGGCCATCTTGAAAATTACCAAGGCAATAGCGAGTAGCAAACCCTGTACCATAAGAACAATTTATTTGAACCAAAGTTGAATAGAGAGAATCTGGAAAATCATAAACACCCTTGAATGAGATGTCGCCATAAATATCTTGATGACAGTAATCTAAATAAAAAGTTTTACTTTTTAAAAAATATAAAATAAATCTTTAAAAAAATACATGAAAAATAAACAAATAAGGGCAATTATGAGTTTATTTTCAAAACACGGTATGAGCAACCTTGTTGTTATGTGCCGACTTAAATTAAAAAAAATTCAGGCAAATTCAAAAACAACAAATAAATAGTAATTAAAAATAATTACATATAAGGAGACAAGGAGGCTACTTAACAGACAAGGAGGCTACTTAACAGTGGTTATAACCCTCTCTCAACTCTATAACTCCGAAACACGAACCTTGAAGAACAAGGCTGCTACGCTGAGAAACAAGTTGAGCGCGGTACTACCAGGGACGTGGTGGGGATCGAACATATAAAAAAAATTTTTTAAAAATATATTAACTATAAATAAACTGCAAAAATATAACCCACTAAAGTTCACTTTCATGCACAAATTATCATTTTTTTATTAAAGAATATTTAAAGCAAAATATAAAAACAAAATTGCTCAAAAGTCAAAAAAGCATTAAAAACATTAAAAAATATTTTGAAAATAAACTTTTCATATGTTAGAAAATGTTAAAATGAATATGTTAAAAATATATTATAAAAAATATGTTAAAAATAAGGTCCAAAAATTAAAAAGTATTGCTAATAGAATCTCCTATCTAAACATTAAAAAAAGATAAACAGAGATTTATGACAAGATAAATAGAGATTTATGATTTATAATTTACATAATTGTTGAAATAAATATAAGATATAAATTTATAACAAATAAAAACTTATAAATAAACATATAAAATATAACTTAAATAAGATTCATATAGCTGCAAAAGTATACATCAAAAAAGCATTAAAAACTGTCAAAAAAGCACCGTTGTTACACAATTTATTTCAAAATATTTTGTTGTATCAAATCTAAATCATAAAAAATTTGATAGCATGTGTTGTACTATTCAAGTAATGAAAAGAAATCTTTATAATTTAAAAAAGTTTTATACTTTATAAGGAAACAAGATTATATACAGTTTAAAAACATACCTTTGTTTATATTCTGAGGATGAATCATTATAGTTTATGTTGACTAATTATTGAACTCATTTTAAATATTTGTGTGTATATGTGTGTGTGTGTTTGTGTGTGTGCATGTGAGTTTACATTCATGATATACCAAACACTTTACTACAGAGTTGTTGTTTAAGTTTATACATATGTTGTTACACTTTTCCATCAACTTTTTTGCTATTTGTAAATGAAAGTTGATCTTGGTAAATTTTTTCAACAATATAAATGTCACAGCATCTTCCTTCCTTTTCACTAATGCAAACATTATTAACAGAGAGTTAATAATTTTATTACATAATATAACACTCACTGTCCCAGAAATATTAAATAAGAACTTTTACAAGTAACTAGTATAATATTAAAAGCATTGTTTGTAAAAGTTTTGAATAAAATTCTGTTGTTGCCAAACATTACTAACCAAAATGAAGAATTAATATTTCAACAAAAATTAAGAATGAATATTTCAATTACAAAGAAAACATTTATTTTATTTACAAAATATTCAAAAAATAAATTCACTAACAACATATCTGTAGGTAAGCACTATTAATGCTGAGAATAACTAGAAAATAAAGTTCAAGAGCTTAACCATAGATGCTAGAACAGGTCCAATTATAATATTCACAGTTATGATATTATAAATCAATATCATATATGACATTGATAAAACATATGGTATCAACATACATCATACACTGAGATACATATTTTAAAATCAATTAATATCTCAATTGTTTGCACCTCATTGTTTGCATGTTAGTTTAAATTTAGACTGACTAGTGACTACGACCATATAGCAGACTGTTGACCTGAATTTTCAATATCACTTCAGAAAAATGTTTTTCCTAATTTATATTAAAATTCTCCTGAGCAAAATGTTAGAATACTGCTTACAGATGTCATTTCTTCTAACTACTTCAGGTCAGGTCAGATAATTTACTCCTGCTTAGGGCTCTTGATTGAGTAAAGGCTTGAGGTTTATAAGCCAAATAAGCATTTTTATTGAGATGCTCTTCTGGGTGCTTATCTGGAATGATGTTAACTGCACTAAGAAAATGCTTATCTGGGAAGATGTTAACTGCGCTCAGCTACTCTCTTGTTCAAGGACTTTTAGGCAAAGACTCTAGGGGTAAGCAAAAAAATTCTATTGGTTAGCCTTGTACCCTTTTCTTTCATATATTAAGTCAAAGTAGATTTAAACCTGTTACATTGTTTCCTGCCTAGGATGATGAATGCTCAACCTTCTTGACTTTATTCAAAGGATTTTGCTTGTGCCTCCATGATAGTGGCATAAAGTAAAAATGTCATTTACATATGTAAATATATTACACTCGAACTTGGACTTAGCACGTTTTGCAAATAGACTCTTCATATATATATATATATATATATATATATATATATATATATATATATATATATATATATATATATATATATATATATATATATATATATATATATATATATATATATATATATATATATATATATATATATATATATATATATATATATATATACATATATATATATATATATACATATACATATACATATACATATACATATATATATATATATATATATATATATATATATATATATATATATATATATATATATATATATATATATATATATATATATATATATATATACATACACATATATATTGTAGGTTAAAATAATAATATTTAGGGGGTGCACTGGCAAATAAAAAATTGTAGAAATTCAAAAATTTTAGTAAAATCATATTTTGGAAATTTGCTGATTCCCTTTACACCCGGAGGTGCAGTAGCCTCACTTTTTCACTTTTTATAGTAGAAGTTCCCTGCTAGGATTACTAATAAACAAAGTACAAAACAATGGAGATTTTTAAATAATATCTTATAATAAAATATATTATAAAACTTATACTTTGGGTTTTATTATTGTGCCAAAGATAAAATATTTGTCTTAGATTTGTCTTGGAGCTTCCTCCGATAATTTTGATACAACTTGTATTAGATATTGTTTCTGTTGCTCATCATTGGTGATTAATTTGTTGTAATCTTCAATCAAATTCACTCCTCTTTAAGCAATATCATAAACAACTTTCATATGTTTAACTACATTATATGCTTTCAAAAAACTCTCATTAAGAGGCCAATCTTCTACTGGTTTGCTTAAGAATGCTGAAGACAATCCAAGTATACTAAAAAAAGAATATGTGTTAGTTGTTGCAAAATCTTCAAGTTGCTTAGAGTCATTAGTTTTGATATCTATTTCTGTCTTTGGAGGATCTTTTCTAAACTTTTCTGAATTACTTTTATTTTTCTGAATGTTTTGTAATAGCATACTTCATTTTTTTATTTGGTGTCAAAGTTTACTTTATCATCAAAGAAAGCCAATTCAATCAACTCTTCAGAGATATACCGCAAATGATGCTTAAATTTGCCAAGTGCAACATTTGCTAATTCTTCATTTGTACTTTTGTAACTGTAAAGAATCTTAAGGAGACTTAGATCATTTCGTGGAGCACTTACTGCATGGAGAGCCAAGAACCAATGCTTAATGTATATTGCAACAGAAAACAGACAAATTTCTTAAGTTTTTTTCCTTCTTTAGCTGTTATTTTAAACTGAGTTTTAAACATCTCAATTTTCATGGAATAAATGTCTTTTGTCATCCAACGTGCTCTGTGATAAGCCCCAGGCTTTCTGAATTTCAGCTTTTGGAGTACCGCCAAACAATATAATTGAAAGTTCCAATAATTCTTTGTAATCGTCGCAAGGTTCTTCTTTGAGTTTTTTTACTGCAAGTCGCATGATTTCTTCTTTTTCTTTTTGTGGATAATTTATCAAATAAAGTTTGATCAATATTACTCCAGTTTTTTTAAATCTTTTAAATAACTGAACGTCAGGGCCTGATGGAGCTGACAATGCTGTGTTTACCACTGCTTCCAACATGATTTCAAGGATACGATGTCGACAAGGACAGCATAACAAATCTTTTTCCATATTTTGTTTAAGTAAGACACAAGCTCCGTTTTTTTGACTGGTGTTTGATGAAGTTGTGTCAAAGCACATAACTTTTACATTATTTGTCAGATTCCATTCAATGACCAACTGATGTACTGCATTTACAATCTCCTTTCCTGTACCATGATCTAATTTTGGCACCCTAATCAATTGATTATGTCCACTGCCAGATATTAGGACCGGCAACTGATCTACAACGTCATTGCCAACAATGTCTTCAAGTAGTTTGCTGTTTCTTTGCCATCTTGGTGTGATGTTTTTCTTCATTCTTATCAACTCCCATCATTTTTCCCTTTGGACCTTCCCTTTGTAACTTTAGAAAATCTCTATCTTCCTCAATAGTTATTAACTTATTCGCATTTGCATGCACTATATCAAAGAGTGTATCCAGTTTTTTATTCCATTTATTCACTTTCTCTAAGGAGAACTTTGATTTTTTTCCTTTGCTTTTCTTTAATAATTTCCATTCAATATACAGCTTATTTAATTTATTCACAACATCGGATTTCAGGGAGGTTGGTATTCCTGCTCTCTTCCACATCGCTAATACATCATTAACAGTAGAAGATAATGCTTCTCTATCAGTTTCTTTGCAGACATTTTTATAATGCATCAATAAAGAGATTACTTCTCTTTTTAATGGACAAGACAAGTTGGATTCCATTTATCTATTTGTTGACCTATCAGCCAAATATCTGTTGTACTAGTTTCTAGTTTTATATTAAACAATTATTAAACAGCAAGTAATAAGTAATAATACAAGCAAAAAAATTCAAACTTATAAAACATGATTTTACTCAAATTTTTAAAATGTTACTTATTTTTAATGTAAAGGATGGTAATGATTGTTACGAAAACAATTTCCTCTGGACAATTATTTATAATGCTTGCTCAGAATAACGATTAGCAATTGCGG